TGGTCAGTGGGAAGGGTGGGCAGATAGTTGGGAAGGAAGATGGACAGGTTGTTTCAGGTGAAGGAGGCGGGGATGAGAGGGAGGGCTGGACATGGGATGAGGCCGGGGGTAGGGAGATTTTGAAGCTGATGAACTCTATGTTGAGGTCATCGGGCTATCAGCTCCTGAGGCAGAATATGTATTGCTCCTCTGGTCCAGAAACTTTCTCCTCTCACCTTAAAAGTACGCCCCCAGTGTTGAAATTCCACCCCTCCTAGGAAAAAAGACACCTGCCATCACCTTATCTATGCCCCTCATGATTTTATAAACCTCTATAAGTTCACCCCTCTACCTCCTACGCTCCAGTGGAAAAAATGTCCCAGCCTATCCAACCTCTCCTTATAACTCAAACCTTCCATCCTGGCTATATTCTGGTAAATCTTTTATGAACCCTCTCCAGTTTAATAATGTCCTTCCTATAGCAGGGCAATCAGAACTAGATGCGGTACTCCAGAAAAGGTCTCACCAACATACTGTACAACCACATTATGAAGTCCCAAGTTCTCTACTCAAAGGTCTGAGCAATGAAGGCAAGTGTGCTAAACGCCTTCTTAACCATCCTGTCTGCATGTGACACAAACTTCAAAGAATTGTGTACCTGAACCCTTAGGTCTCTCAGTTCCAGAACACTACCCAAGGCCCTGCTTTTAACATATATGCCCTGCCCTTGTTTGTTTTTCCAAAATGAAATACTTTGCATTTATCCAAATTAGGCTCAACCTGCCACTCCTCAGCCCATTGACTCAATTGATCAAGATCTCTTTGTAGTCTTAGACAACCTTCTTTAACCATTTTCTGGCAAAACAGAAGATTTCAGAACACCCACCCATGAGCCCTGTAGCGTGCCAGGCTGAAAGGTGTAGCCATGGTGTGAATATGTTACTTCAGTGAATTTGCTTTCTAGCCGTACAGGAACTGGAATGATGCCCTAACTAGTACACAGCATGAAGTAACTGACTGGGTTCTCTTCATACTTATTTGACTAGAACAAAGCTCACCTCAATTTATTGTGCTGGTCAGCTGCAATAGCAGCATCAATGTACACTGCTAGATAGTAACAATACTGCAAACAATTGCATAAATTTCAAACTCTTGATCAATTCTTTATCTATTATTGCCAACTATGATTAAAGTATATAACTAAATATGGAACTAGCTTGCATTGCACAATTTTGCATTGCAATGGTTTCCCAGAACAATTTCATTTTGTTTTAGATGTAAATAATTAGGTTCTTTGAACAAATGTTAATGGTTCTTATTCATAATAGATCTGATAACAAAGCATGTGATTCCGATGGGAGAGGTTATAGGGCTTTAATCTAATGAAGAATACCAGTTTTATGCCATTGTCCTGCCCAGAGAAAACTGTAGGGGGCGGCACCAGGTTTCTGTGTGGATAGAGGTGATTAGAGTGCTTCATTTGAGTTGGAATGCTTGGAATCGCACTAGTAAAAGTCTCAGGCTGTCTTTATATTGCAGCTCAGCTGAGAGTACGGCATTGAAGTATGAGTTCCAGGCCAGCAGCATCCTGTTTATATTATTTGGCTCCTGTCTGCCTCAAGCCAGTCGGTTCAGGAGAGATCTACATGCAGGTGCCATCACGCAGAACTTTTCCCCTGGCGGTTAGAAAGGAAACGTATCAAGGAACTTGAACGGAAAATGGCACATTTCGAAACCAGCAGTTGAAAAAAATCCCAATAAATCCCGAGGCAAAGACAACACAGTGTGGAGCTGGAGGAACACAGCAGGCTAGGAAGCATCAGAGGAACAAGAAAGTTGATTTTTCAGGTCGGGACCCTTCTTCAGACCTCTAACTCCAGCATCTGCAGTTCTTGCTATTTCTGTGTTTGAGGCAAGATTGGATACCAAGCTTCTATTTTGAGGTGAAAGGGTTTTAGATTCTTTATGCCTCGATACAGACCTCTTTCTTTCTCTTCGCTGCAAATCTAGAGCAGGTGTAAAATAGACATAATTTCACACTTCTGCTGAAATGACAGCGTAGATCACAATTAGCCCAAGTTTCAGGATTAATGCTTATAACATAGAGGATATTACACCAGTGATAGGTAGTTCTATGTGTGCTGTGTGAATGACTTAAAATTAAATATACAATAAGCATCAGTAAGTCTAGGTATGTTCTTAAAAAAAGTAAAGATAAGCTGGCAAATCCCATGTAAGCCATCCATCAGCCCAATAAAGTGTAATATTAAAATAAACATTCCTGTCATATGACTTTTTTTCCTGATGTCATTAATAGTATCCAGCTTTGTCATGAATATTGAGAAACTTTTTCCAAAATGTTCTGACTTACATGTATTGTATCCATTCATGTCAATCTTTATTATCATCAAATCATCGATCAATAAGTTCTGATCTGATTAATAGATCATGGAAAGTGGAATTGTTTTGTTAGGGCCTCGGAGACCCAGAGTTCACACCTGTATCTCTGTGGCAGGTGCTTTGTTCTTGCTTTTATTAACAAACTTTGCGGAAACATTCAGGGCTAATTTTCACGATGCACCCAAAATGGAGACAGACATATCAGGTAGGCCTGGCAGGAGGCCTGAGCCTAAGGTCAACATTCCGGCAGCAGCCTGTGAATGGAATGTGAGTGGAACCCACTTCACAGCTCGCTGATTCTGGGAGGACAGGATATCACTTGGCCCCTGTAATGAGCTACATGCTAGGCCGTGCCTATGGGTAGTGAGGGCAGAGAAGGTAAATCTGCCCGAAGCTTTTGTTTGTTTAGGGTGGAGCTATGGTGGATAAACAGAACTGAACATGAGAAATACTTGTATTTCTACAGCACCTTTTTGGATCACAGCACTTTACACCAAAGGGAGTAGTTTTGAAACGCAGTCACTGTTAAAACATTGGAAACAAGACTGCCAATTTTCATTCAACAAGATCCCGTTTACAGCAATGGGGGATAATAACTAGATATTTACTGGTGTTAATTGAGGGATAAATATTGACCAGCAAACTGAAAATAACTCTCCTGCTCTTCTTCAATTAGTAATCTAGGATCTCTTATGACCAGCTGAAAGTGTGGTTGGGTTAAAGGTTTTATCTGAAAGATGGCAGCTCCCAGAGTGCACCATTCCCTTGGCACTTCACTGGAGAGTTAATTTGATTTTTGTCATTTTGCAATCGAACCCACCATCTCCCAACCACAATAACTGACAATAACTGAAGAGGGTTACAGGCTTGAGGGGCTGAATGGCCTTCTCCAGATGCTAAGGTTTATGGGGGCTGTCAAGGTGCACTCCCTCTCAGTGCCTTATAAACTGGGCAGAGTGCACGAGGTCATTCCTACCTATGCGTAGCTGAAAGTCGCAACCAAAATTGCACCTCACCTTACACAGCCTACTGTCTGTTTCCAGTATGCAAACTTGCTCAGTTAGTCAAAGACCTGCCTGAAAATTGTACTTAGCAAGACTTTGGTTACTGGGAAGCCCAATCTCAGCTCTACCCGACTTCCAAACAAAACATCCCTCCCCCAGCTCACCAGTTAACAATAATTTACTGCCTGTTATTTTGGGTGGGAATTAGGCGTCTGGCTGTTGAACATTTCCCCCTTTGGAGCCACTAACAACCATTAATTATCCAGACGTTAAGTGGCAGCCTATGATTGTAAAACACTGCGAAATACATCTGACTTTCAGTCTTGTCAAAGTGTAAAACTTCCCTTTCCTCTAACTGAGCCAACAGCTGTGCATTCCCTTGGAGCCTGCCTTGCAAGTTTCTTTTCTCCGTCCTTGTGCTCTCATGCGACAACCCTGCGGTGGTTGCAGCATGGCAGCCGGAAGACTGCAAGGGGAGGGACTACAGATGGCTAAGGACGGTATCCTGAAGCAGTTCAGGGGGCCCAACGCTGGACTGCACCAACTCTGCATGGGCGACAGTAACCTTGGTTGACTGGCTGAGGTACAACCTCTAGGGCACTTGCAGTACAGCAACGACGGGATCACGAATGCTGCCATCCTGAGATTACAAAGCTCCGTGGTGCCACTGCCAACCCTTCGGGACTGCACCTCAGTTATCCTCTTAGTTTGCTGCAGCACAGATTGCAGAACTGCTGAAAGAGCCTGCATTCCCTGTCGAACATTGAGATCTGAATGCACATTAGTAGCTGGGCTTGGATGACAAACGGTCATAGGTGACAGTGACACGAGACCTGGCAGAGAATGAGAACAGTGAATGAAAAGCTAAAGTGGGGGAGAGAGAGCAACATTTGTAAAACAGCTGCAGTGATGCCACAACTAAGGAAGGTTAAGGTTAAGGAGTAGTCTGTGAGTGCTTCTGGTTAGTAGCCCCAAAAGTAAAGGCGTGACAGGGAATCTGAGCATGTGGAATGTGTATCCTGTGCAATGTGGGAAATCCCCAATGCTTCTCATTGATCTGAACGACCTTGTTGTGCTGGAAATTTCGCTGCTTTGATCTCTGTGTTTCAGAGTTTGAGCGGCAGCTGGAATCTTTGCAAGGCACCTGGGATCCTGCGAGCTTGAAGTTTTGAAAAATAATCACACTGCAGCTTAAAAATGTGCAGGCAGTGAGGAAATGAGTGATTGTCTGAATGTCAAAGAGAACCAGGCAGGCAGGGCTGGCATTCATAGAAATCATACAGGCCATTTGGCCCAACAAGTCCCCATCAACTCTCCGAAAAGCATCCAACCAAACTCACCCACCCAACCCTGCCAACCCTATCCCTGTATCTCCCATGGCTAATCCACCTAGCCTACATATCCCTTGACACTATGGATAATTTAGCATGGCCAGTCCATCTAAACCTGCACATCTTTGGACTGTGGGAGGAAACCGGAGCACCCAGAGAAAACCCACGCAGACACGGGGAGAATGTGCAAACTCCACACAGACAGTTGCCCAAGGCTGGAGCCAAGCACAGGTCCCTGGCGCTGTGAGGCAGCAGTGCTAACCACTGCACCACCGTGCCGTCCCAAAAAAATATGGAACGCTCTATGAATTTGTGAGGCATCTTTGTGCAGGCTCCATGTTAATATTCTCTGTATCATTCCAATTTTAGTATATGTGCTGCCGAAGCGAGCTGAGTACATCTGGCTATCCAGTTCCGAACGGGGCTAGAGCCATTGTTTCTCATGGAGTCCAGCCAGATCCAGGTTTATAAACCCTGCATTGTTCAGCTGCATGGTGAAGGAGGAATTCGTGTGGAAGTCCAACAGTGGTAGGGAATTTGATATGTAAAGTGGATAGATAAGAGTTTCTGCTCCTGCTGAAGAATGGTCCATTGCTTCCCTATTGCTACAGTCCAGGAATCTACTGAGCAGCCTCAAGATATTCTGTGAGGGAAGGGGGAACATCCAGAGGTCATAATTTATACCTGTACCAATGACATTAGTAGGAAAAGAAATGTGTTCCTGCAGGCAGAGTATAGAAATTTAGGAGAGAAATTGAAAAGTAGGGGGAATAATTTCAGGTTTACAACTGGAGCCATGTGTTAGTGAATATAGAAATAGCAAATAGAATTGATGAAAACATGTTCAGACAAGTGGGAGACTCTTAAGAGTGTGATGACAAGAGTTCAGAGGCACTATGTTCCTGTCAGATGAAGGGTAAGGCTGGTAAGGTGAAGGAAAAATGGATGAATAAAGATATTGATGTTCTAGTCAAGAAAAGAAAGAGAATCTTCTTTTAGTTATTGACAACTTGGTTCAATTGAATCTCTTAATCAATACAGAGTGTAGGCGCATTCTTAAGAAGGAAATCAGGAAGGCAAAGAGGGGATATGAGATAACCTTAGTAGATAAGGTTAAGGATAATCCAAAGAGATTCTGCAAGTAAATTAAGAGTAAGGGGGTAAATAGAAAGATCAAGATGGCCATCTTTGTGTTGAACCCCAGGAGATGGGAGAGATACAAAATGAATTTTTCTTGTAAGTTTTAACTATGGTGAAAGAAATAGGGGCTAGAAAATGCAGGAAATAAATTTTGATGTTCTAAAAACAGTTCATATTACAGAAGAGGAATTTCTGGAGATCTTAGATAGTATACAGGTGGATAAATCTCTGGGATCTAATGTATCCCAGAATGTTATGGCAAGTAAGGGAGGAAATTATGAGACTCCTTGCAGAAATGTTTGCATTGTCGATAACTACAGGTGAGGTACCTGATGACTGGAGGGTGGTTAACGTTGTACCTTTGTTTAAGAAGGCTTATAAGGAGAAACTGGAGAATTATAGACCTGACTTCTGTTATGGGTAAATTGTTGGAGGTGATTATAAAAGATAGGATCTACGGACATTTAGAGAGGTAAAAATTGATTAAGGATAGTCAGCATGGTTTTGTGTGAGGAAAATCGTGTCTCACAAACTCAATTGATTTTTTTGAGGAAGTTACCAAAAAGATTGATGAGGGCAGAGCAGTAGATAGTGTTTACTTGGACGTTAATAAAGCCTTTGACAAGGTTCTGCATGGTAGACTAATAAGTAAAGTTAGGTCACGTGGGATTCAGGGTGAGCTTGCCAATTGGCTACATAATTGGCTTATTGGCAGGAGACCAAAAGTGGTAGTGGATGGTTGCTTTGCAGACTGGAGGCCTGTGACCAGTGGTGTTCCACAGGGATTGGTTCTGGGTCCTCTTTTCTTTGTCATTTATATAAATGATTTGGATGAGAATATAGAAGGCATGGTTAGTAAGTTTGCGGATGACACACGTATTGGCGCAAAGTAGACATTGAAGACGGTTTTCTAAGATTACAAAGGGATCTTGATCAAATAGGTCAATGGACTGAAAAATGGCAAATGGAGGTCAATCTGGATAAATGCAAATTATTGCATTTTGATACGACAAACGAGGTAGGACTTATATAATTATAGGTAGTGCTGTAGACCAGAGGGACCTAGGGATGCAGGTATATAATTCTTTGAAATTTGTGTCACGTATAGACAGGATGGTTAAAAAATGGGTTTAGCATGCTTGCCTTCATTGTTCAGACCTTTGAGTATAGGAGTTGGGACGTCATGTTGAGATTGTAGTGGACATTGGTGAGGCCTCTTCTGGAGTACTGTGTCCGGTTCTGGTCATTCGGTTATAGGAAGGATATTTTTATGCTGGAGAAGGTTCCAAAGAGATTTACCAGGGAGGTTTACGTTATAAAGAAAGGATGGTTAGGCTGGGACTTTTTCATTAGCGTGTAAGAGGTTGAGAGATGACCTTAAAGAAGTTTATAAAACCATGAGGAGTATAGATAGGGTTAATGGTAGTTGTCTTTTCCCAAGGATGGGGCATTTCAAGACTCGGGGTAACATTTTTAATACGAGAAGAGAAAGATTTTAAAAAGACACGAGGGGTACATTTTCTACACGGAGGGTAGTTGATATGTGGAACGAACTTCCGAGGAAATGGTGGATGTGGGCACAATTATCACATTTAAAAGACATTTAGAGAAGTACATGAATGGGAAAGGCTTGGAGGGGTATGGGCTAGGAGCTAGTTTAGTTTGGGATTATGTTTGGCATAGACTAGTTGGACCGAAGGGTCTGTTTCTGTGCCAAAAGAGTCTATGACTATGCGTACAGAATTAGTGCAGGAGAGGGGAATTTCATATTCCTGAGGCATTAAGACTATTTCTGATGAGATAGGACCTTTGCAAGCCTGCTGGCTGAAACCCCAGCAGGACCAGGCCTAATATTCTTACATGGAATTTTACTCCTACTGTTGACTGAGTGATGGAACACTCTAAGTAGATTCATAAAAGACAGCAGAAGAGTTGGAAGTTGAAGGCAATAGTTTAACAATTAGTTTGTAAGGCAGAAGCAACAAAGGGTAGAAGCAGATAATAAAACATTCTGGCATTGCCAAATTGTATATACTTCAAATGCAAGTAGTCTGGGGAATAAGGTAAACAAGCGAACAGCAAAGATTGACATGTGGGAATATATTATTGCTGTTACTGAGGCATGGCTTAACAAAAAAGGCAGACATTGTAAATATGTGATTCATGGTTCATTTATTTCAGTACATATCTTTTAGTTTCAGGAATTAACGGTTAGTAGGAAAAAATTATCGGATGAATGGAAAAGAAGCAGCTTGAAATCTAACGTATTTAAAAGATTGTGTTCGTGCTGCTTTAAAAGGTTACCTGTGTTTGTTTAAGTGAATCAGAACAGAAGAGATGGTTCATTTGGGAGTTAGAACTAAATGAATTTAGAAGTATTCAGTGAACTGTGAAAGGCTATAAAACCGATTCACTTTATCAGAAGAGAAGAAATTGGAAATGAGAAATACTGAAACCTAATTTAAGGATGGCAGAACAGGCTATATCATCTTTGAGATGGGTGGAGCTTAAGAGCTTTCTCTGATTTCAATTTATCTGTGTGTTTTCTGGGAGAAGTTAGTTGCAATTACAATTTCAGGCTGCGAGAGTGCTAAAGCAAAGACTTGACTTTAGGTAGCACACGTGTTGCAGTTAACACATTTGAGGCTGTTAGAGCAGGAGAAATCCCTGGAAGCCATTGATGGTTCCATGTCGTGAGGGTCAGAGTGAAGGAAATCCACAAGCAGTATTTCCTTGGTGCAGCTGAATAATACTAGACATTTGAGAAATCCCAGTGGCAATGTTTTTTTTCTTTCTGAGGGTTATTGAATATTTTAATAGTGGCAGTATTAGCTTAGTGAAGATAACTGTCTGCTAAAGAGCTGGATATATGCTTATGAGCAGATGCTGGAGTGAAGTCTTACGAATACAGTAGAATGCAGTCTCATTCGAAGAGATTGAATTACTAGAACATGATCAGCCATTGAAACAGTCCTGTCAGCAGCTTTTTAAAGGGATTTCCATACCCCGACCTTTGAAAATGAAGATTTGGAAGCCCTTGTAGAGAAGATAAAGATTTAATGAGACCTACAGTGTCACTAACATCCAGGTGGAAGCTGTTTTTATTACATTGACCATTTAAAATGGTCTCTGAGATAGTCAACCACATTTTGTTATTTAGTTGTGAGCTCATGAGGAGTTGGGGATAAGACTACATTTTTATATTTGCTCATGAATGATTATCATAGGAATAACTTCTAAGTTAGACCATAAGGCGATAAGACATAGGAGCAGAAATTAGGCCATTCGGCCCATCGAGTCTGCTCCGCCATTCAATCATGGCTGATAAGTTCCTCAACCCCATTCTCCTGCTTCCTCCCCGTAACCCTTGATCCCCTTGACAATCAAGACCCAATCTATTTCCATCTTAAATATGCTCAATGGCCTAGCCTTCTGTGGCAGTGAATTCCATAGATTCACCACTCTCTGGCTGAAGTAGTTTCTCCTTATCTCTGTTCTAAAAGGTCTTCCCTTTACTCTGAGACTGTGCCCTCGGGTCCTAGTCTCTCCTACCAATAGAAGCATTTTCCCAACATCCACTCTGTCCAGACCATTCAGTATTTTGTAAGTTTCAATTAGATCCTCACTCATCCTTCTAAACTCCAATGAGTATAGTCGCAGAGTCCTCAAACGTTCCTCATATATTAAGCTTTCCATTCCTGGGACCATTCTCGTGAACCTCCTCTGAACCCACTCCAGGACCAACACATCCTTCCCGACATATGGGGCCCAAAACTGCACACAATACTCCAAATGTGGCCAGACCAGAGCCTTATAAAGCCTCAGTAGTATATCACTGCTTTTGTATTCAAGTCCTTTCAAAATAAATGCCAACATTGCATTTGCCTTCCTGACTACTGACCCAACCTGCAAGTTTACCTTGAGAGAATCCTGGACTAGAACTCCCAAGTCTCTTTGCACTTCAGACTTCTGAATTTTCTCCCCATTTAGAAAATAGTCCATGCTTTTATTCTTCTTTCCAAAGTGCATGAACTCACACTTTCTCACATTGTACTCCATCTACCACTTCTTTGCTAACTCTCCTAACCTGTCCAAATCCTGCTGCAGCCTCCCCACCTCCTCAATAAGACCTACCCTTCTACCTATCTTTGTATCATCAGCAAACTTAGCCAGAATGCCCACAGTTCCTTCATCTAGATCGTTAATATATAAAGTGAAAAGTTGTGGTCCCAACACTGACCCTTGCGGAAC